AAAATCAGAAATTCGCTCCATTACGGGTATCGGGTATCGAGCCCCTAGCTTCTTCTTGCTAAGCAGAAATTTGAGGCCGAACGCCCCACCCCTAGAAAAACTATGGCCTCCTCAATGGGCCCATTCCGATCAAAATCAGCTGTCAAATTAGGAGTGATTAGCTCTTACGCGGCTCATTCAAAAACGATAAAGGTTCTATTCCCATCTCTGTACAATCTTTTCCTGTGCCCACTTCTACATGCAATTCCCTATTCCCGCTGTGTTAGTAATCAGCATGCTCACCTACTCTTCACCAATCCTCAGCTCCGTAGCTCAAACTTTGCAGAAAAATCATTAAAATTGATAAAAGTAAGGATAATTCTAAAAACTAATGGCGTTATTCAGCTACCAGTGCGTCATCTCTGCTTCGCAGAGGCTCGCACTAGCCCTACTTTCTGTTTGCCTTACTCATTCCCGCACAATAATGACACTGAAATTCACCGCGCTATGAGGACTATCACGAACGATTGGTAAACAACTTCATTCCTAGAGCCAAGTGAGATCGGTAATTTCGCCTGGAGGAGACCTTTCCCCCCCAAAACAGATGCAAATTTGAATCAGTTTTTGAGTCTTTTTATGGTTTGGTGGTCGCCGTAAAGACAATAATAACTGGGAGCTACATCTCTGTGCAAAAATCTCCCCAAAAGATCAGGTAAAATGTTGGCAACTTGAACATTTACGCAATCAATCTTTTTGGCGCCACCTTCGTACAGTATAAAATTTTGTCTTTTTTGGGCTAAAGTCCCTGGCTTGCACATAAACTTGTCAAACATGTTCATGACTTTGCAAAAAGTGGTGCTACAGGCACCTTTTTGCTGGCCAGAATCCAAGTGGATCCTTTGAAGCGCATGTTGAGGGATCCACTCAACGGATCCGCTCGTGCTTTCGCATAGTGAACTTTCATGCAGGTAGCATACACAGTGCGAAATTTGGTTTTAGGATGTTGGCTGGGACATGCTGTACGAATTTCGTAACTGACAGACAGACACACATACACACGTACAAAAAGACGTAAACATCCTTAGCCGGTTATAAGAAGTTATGATCTTCCAGAATGTTTTTGTGATGGATCTTGCTACGTATATGGGGGTAATTCGAGCTGATAATGAATAATGTACTCATTTCGCGGGATAGCGCATTTTCTGGGTTTCTGGGTACACGTAAGAAGCTAAAATTATGGATTTCGCTGAAACTTTGCTTAGGGGGGCTAATTGACATGCTGAATGAATACCATACTCCTTCGGCATTTTGGGGCGTTTTCACTGGTTTATGGTAGGTATACTGCAGAGGGGCAAAATCTCAGTTTTGGCTGAAACTCGGTCTAGAGAGATTCGACCTTCTGACCACATTCAAAACGCTCTCGTTGCATTTTGAGACCTTTTCGCAGAGTTACGCTAGCTACATAGCAGAGGGCAAAAACCTGCCTGAAACCTTGGCAGGGGGTTACCTAAAGTGCTGTTTCAAGAATATCGTACTCAATCACCACGATAAAGGCAATTCCTGCGGTATAGAAGGTTACCCACGACCGTAATGCTTTCCTTATAAGACCATTGCTGCGCGCGATACACCCTTCAACGGAACAGGGGGGGGGGGAGTTTTGCCGCGTGCGTTACGCGGGGACAGGCTATCAGGATGGCGCTGGAGACCGCCATGCAAAACGACCGTTTCCCCATTTCGTGAATATCTGGGATCTAGTTTGGCCCGAAAGCGAAAAAATGTCCATTCAAACCCTGCAACTCACCATGACTTTACAATGATGCGTTATGACAGAGCAAGCACCATGACTTATAATAACGGGCTACGGGTGTTTATGTGACTTTGTGTGTGTGTTTGTGTGTCTGTTACGAAATTCGTGGAGCGTGTTCCAGCTAATGTCCTGAGCCCAAATTTTGCATGGCGCATGCTACCTTCACGAAAGTCCAACATGCAAAAGCATGAGTAGATTCGTTGGGTGGATCCCTCAGAAACTGCGCGCCAAACGGGTCCACCTGGCTTCTGTGACGCAAAATTCGGTCCGTATCACCACTTTTTGCAGAGTCGTGGACGAGTTTGGTAAGCAAATATGCAAGCTATGGAGTTTAGCCAGAAAAGTGGTCGAAATTCACTACATAAAGAAAACGGCGCCAAAACGAATTGGTTGTGTAAATGGTCGATTTGCCAAAGTTCTAGCTAAGCGTTTGAGAAGATTTTCGCACAGAGATGTAGCTCACGGTTATCGTTACCTTTATGGCGACTACCAATTCATGACAAATCCAAAAACCTATTCAAATTTGCGTTTGCCTTCCTGCGAAAAGTTTCATCCACGCGAAATTACCGATCTCACGTGAAAAGACTTTCTAAATGAGTGGTTGTTTACATTTTATTCGTGGTAGGCGGCTAGCGCGGTGAGTTTCAGTGTCACGATTTTACGAGAATGAGTAAGGCACATAGATAGTAGAGCCAGTGCGAACCTCTGCGAAGCACTGGAAACTTATAATAACGGGCTAAGGTGTTTACGTGTTTTTGTGTGTATGTATGCCTGTGTGTCTGTCTGTAACGAAATTCATAAAGCGAGTTCCAGCCAACATCCTGAGCCCAGATTTTGCACATCGCATGCGACCAACATAAGAGCCTACCATGCAAAAGCACGAGTAATTTTGTTGGGCGGATCCCTCAGAAACTGCGCGTCAAACAAAGCCACTTGGGTTCTGGCCAGCAAAATTGTTTCCGTATCACCACTTTTTGCAAAGGCGGGGATGTGTTTGGCATGCTAATGTGCAGGCCATGGATTTTAGTCCAAAGAAGTGGACAAAAGTTCACTACTTTACGAGAACGACGCCAAAAAGAAATTGTTGCGTAAATGGCCAATTTGCCATGGTTTTACTTGAGCATTTGAGAAAAATTTTGCACAGAGATGTAGCTCACGTCGCCTACTGTCCTTATGGCAATTACCAAGCCAGAAAGAATCTTAAACCTACTCAAATTTTTGTTTGTTCTTTTGCGAAAAGTTCCATCCAAGCGAAATCACCGATCTTACATGAAATAGCATTTGGAATGGGTAGTTGTTTACATTTTAGTCGCGATAATCGGCACTGCCCGGTGAGTTTCATTGCCACCATTAGTCAAGAATGAGTAAGGCATATGAAGTAAGACCAGTGCGAGCCTCTGCGAAGCAGAGGTGACGCACTGGTCATATTCATAAGCAGCATGCTTGTGAACCGTTACAGGTAAGTTTTTGAGCAAATCTGGAACTTCGACCTGTACACCCACCGTAACGCAAGAAAGTGAAGCTATCCTGCGACATCAGCATGATATTCATGTTCAGTGCGCCAAACGACCACCCCTAGACGAAGTTTAGAGCAAATCTATGTTCTCCTTCCCACACCGTATAAACACCATAACTCTATGAATAGGTCTCAATATGCAGAGAGAGTATGACTCGTAATTAGCATGTCGAGTAAGCCCTCTGGACCGAACTCCGGCCAAACTCATGATTTTGACTTCTTACCGTACACCTATTGTAACCACACGGGAAGACATTCTGCGGAGAAAGTGTGATATCTGTAATCAGCATGTAAGATAATCCTTACAGACGAAGCTTGAGCAAGCTCTACGGCAAAAAAATTGAATTGACACTTGTGTCGCTCTAGCTTGCCACGCGGGACTTTGGGAACGTGTGCGAGTCGGTTCGAGTGTTACCTCAAACTTGGGTAATTAAACCTTTATTAGGACTAACAAATAACAAATAATGCGCAAAGGTGCTTAACTAAATCCTACAACTATTCTAAGTGCAATTACATGATAACTGCTGTTACGTGACTACCTACTGACGGTGTAGTGCGGAGTCGTGCAATGAGTCGTGCAGAGAAAAGGCTAAGCTAACAAGAAGGCAAAAGGGGCAGTAATCATCTCCAACCGCCAGCTTATATACAGCAAATACATAAACATATACATCAGATACATAAACATAATACAAAGAATGTCTGTGAAGCAAAGAGATAAAGCCTTGTTCTCATAACGACTATCACACGCAGTAGCTATCCGTAATTCTGTGATTCTGTGATCCGCGCTAATTTTCCGCATTCCTGTGAAGATACTGACTCATGAGTCAGTATACTCCGGCCTCAGCAATAGAAGTCGGGGGGACCTCGCGGTGTAGTAGGCCGTGACTGATATTCTGGTGTCCGCTTCTCTTCTTGTGTTCGTGCTGATGTGCTACGTCTCCACAAGTTCATGAGTTCCTCCTTGCATCTGTCGATCCTTCTGAGGAGATCCTTCCTTAGCTGACCCTTCCGGGTATACTCCTCGGGCTTGGTACAGATGCTTGCGTGGTGCTCACGGTGCTCTGATGGTGACGCCGATGGGTCAGCCTTGCAGTAGAAGCAGATTGGGCGTTTCCTGCAGCTCAAAGCGTCGTGTAGTTCGATAGAATTTAGACATCGACCTTCCTCGCGCAGAATTTCCAGTCTTTCGGCCACACTTCTTATCCTCGGGCATGCATCAGAATAGTGCTTTCCAAACACCTTGCAGTAGACGCACATAAGGAGTGATTCGTTGTCCTTCTCGATCTCCGAAGCGTCTTTCGATTCCTCCGCAGTTGGATAGGAAGTGTTCTATGTCACTTAACTCCCTTTCGCACTGATCCAGGAGTCTCTGAAGGTTGGCTTGTTGCCGGTCAGACTCGATACGGGACTTTTGTGCCGTCTCTTGGAACCGGTTCTCGTGCAACCAGAATGTGACGTGCGGTCTTCTTCTTCGCCTTGCTGGGCTTGGTGTTGTCTTTTATTTCGGTGTCGTCTCTTGTCCGGGTCTTCGTTGGTGGACATCGTGCTGCTAATGGAGGACTCCTTCTTGTCCAGGCAGCTTCTGATGCTCTTACTCTGTGATTTGAACTAGTGCTTCCGACTTTCAGCCTCCTCGCTGACTTGGCCAGAAAAGTTCTTTAACTGTGCTGTAATGTCTTCTTTCTGATGCATTGTGCTTTACTGTTGCCTCTTGACGTCTTCGCGAAGTGAGCGAAATCCGTCTTTCATTGCGCGGGTGACTAGTCCTTCGAAGTGCTGATGCATGGCTTGCATCAACTCCCGTGTTTCGTGCTGCTGCTTTTTGACGTTGTCCTGCAAATCCTTAAAGGCTTTCCTCAGCTCACGAAGAGTTTTGTCTTCTGCGGTAGTGTTCCGTTTGAACTCGCCTTCTGCTTCTTCTACCGCTGCCTTTTCTTCTTTCAAGAGGAGGTCGTAAAGACGTGATAGCTGCAAACTCGATCCTTCGTGCAATTAAGCCGAGTTTATCTGGGTTCGGGATAGCCTTCGTCCCCCGGCTCCATCATCTCGTAGAAGACTTCGGCTGACAGCTTATTAACACATTGACGACCGCTTGACACACATGGTGTGTCAAGCAATGACTACCGCGTGGGACCGCTTGACACACTATGTGTGTCAAGGCTTGAACATTGTTAAAATAACACTATACTTTGATAAACACACCCCACGAGCTTTCTCCTGCACTGAGTCTAGGGATAAGCTCTACCGTTATTTTCAGTCTTTCTGATCTAGCGTAGGTGTACTGTAGATGGCAATATGCGTAATTATAGTTGAAAAATGCGGGCTGGTCCGTAAGAGGCCTTGGTCCCAGAAGACAGACAACTAAAAATCTGCATGGTCGTCAATGTGTTAATGTAAGCCAGTCGTTCAAACTCGTTTGCTTCGTTCATCTCCACCAAGACTTCGTACCACTCGTGCGCTAACACGAATTGGTCTCTCATGACTGTGAGATTCGTGCGTTCTTCCTTGTGCTCCATGCAGAGTTGCTCTATCTTCAGAAGATAGCGCAACGCTCCACGTCTGACAATGATCATAACCCACCTGTCCATCATAAGAGAAACAAATCGTGCTTTGGCGTGCTTGTGTAGACTTTCAAACTCATAGCATTTGTCCGCGTAAAATTTAAGTTTCTGCCGGACGATGCTTTTCGTGGGACGAGCCGGTGAACTTTTGACCATTCTTATCTTCCGTGCGAATTCTTGCCTCAGTTTCTCTTCCATAGATCTGCGCACTTCTTCCGTGAATTTGTCCATTAACTGTAACGATTGAGTGATTGGATGCCGAATTTTGGCTTCTACTCAAGTAGTTGTTATCAATTCTTTTCCATTCCCGTAGGCTTAGTCAAAGCACGGTGTGATTGCCGCCGCGATATTGCGATGTTTTGATTCGGAGCTTTGTTATTACACCTGCTTTTTTGCCGTATTTCATGCTCATTGCCGTTTTTTGTGTTATATTGATTGTTTCCCTCTTTTAATGTTTATGGCTTCCACATCAGCGATAAGGTGAACCTCACTCTTTATTCTATCCTATCCCTTTGGAGGTAAAAAAGAGATGTCTTTCTGAGAGCCAACAAGGGTTTGTCGTGCAACTTTTGACTGATCTCGCCGGCAGATTTGAATGATGAGTGTTTTCTGTGTCCGACTAAGTTATTTGCAATTGAATCTGGAGTTTAGTGCTCGTGCTATTGTGCCTGCCGTGAATTCATGCATCAGAGAAGCTTCTGCCGTGGTTTCTTCCCTCGTTGTTTTCGAAGAGATTTGAACAGCGTGCGCAATATGCATCCCACTAGACAGACCCATAATTTGCACAAGCAATAGCCAAGTCGGAAAATGAGTCTGATCACTGTGCAAAATACCATGTTCGTGATGCAGGTGTATGTCATCAGCAATGCGAGCACCACTAGTGCAATGGTGATCACTAGTGCATAGCTCCAGTTGTGAAATACTTCGAATATATGTCCAAAGTCTGGAAGATTTATTTCCGAGAAGATTTCGCTTTCTCCTTTCAAGATGCGTCGCGTCGCTTCGTGTAGATTTCCCCTGTAGTGTAGAATTCCTGCAATCTCAAAGGAGTTGACAGTTGTCCCACATTTGATAGTACATTTTCTGTGGAACTGGGCCTTTTGACTTACGAAGCTTATATTTGTTTGCGTACCTTCCTGTGAGCACAAAACCGTAAATGCATGAATGCATGTCGCCGCATTCTATTTCTGCCCGTGCTGCAGGTGTTGAGGGAATGCATGTGATTAGGGCTTTAGCTCCCTTGCATTTATAGCACCCTGTGCAATGAGCATTTTTACTTGCGCATACTGCTTCTGATCGTATTGAAGTCGTGCTAAGTTTCCCTTTGATGCGTAGTAGGAATTCCGCTGTTGGTAGCTGTGGTATTTTTGAAGTTATCGTTCCGTTCATTTCCTGGAATTCAAGGTTGGGTTGCAATATAGGTAATCTATACCGCCGTTCTCGAATATGTGATGTGAGATTGCCCTCTTTACAGTCGCAGCGCATTTTCGACTCTGCTGGTGTACAGGTGCATTTCTCTCTCACCTCGCAGGTAAGGTTTCTGCCTCTTCCTGTGAATCACATGTTAGAGGTGGCTGGTAGTCCGTTGGAGCGAGCCAGTGCGAAGATTTTAACATCCGTGAGAAAGGCTGAGTTTAGCAGAGGTGTTGGTGGAGTGCTGATCGATGAAAGAGTACTTGCAAATATCGAAAGTATACTGGGTTGATTTGGAACAAGACGAACGTCGTGATGTAGTGTTGGCTTTCCTTCTTCGCTAATAGAGAGTTGTAGGTTTACTACCTGTTTCCATCTTCCACATCTGAAGATCTCATACACCTCCTCGTCGTTTGGTATGACATAAATCCTGTAAAATAAGCACCCGGAACTGGGATAAAAGCAGTCACAGCCCCGTCCGCCGCAGCTTTCTACGCATCCGGTTACGCCGGGGTAGTAATTTGCTCTGTGCAGTTCTGGGATTTGAGATGTTCGCGTGATACTTCCACATTTATCTCCTACGCATGATCCTGCATGTGAACATCGTTTGCTGTCCAATAGTGCATACTGCGTGCTTCTAGTAAACAGTATCGTTTGTTTTTCGCAGATCAGATTAAGGCTTTTCCAAAGCAGTTTTACTTCTAGGATGTTGTTGTTCTTGCCTTTCAGTCTGATGCAGGCTTTTTGCATGAAAGGGTTGAGTTTGAGAATCTCCGTTGTATCAATCGTGCAGTAATGGCCTCGTTTTGAGCTATAGCAGGATCTTCTTTGGTGCGTAAAGACATCTACGTCTTGACACGGTTGCAGTATTGTGCTCACGCTTAGTGCCATGAGTATTGCACTTCTAGAGAACGAAATCCTTCGAAGTCTGTGATGGGCTGGTGCCAATATCTTTGCCATCGCGTTCCATACTGTTTTAACCGATAATCGTACACACAATACAACTATCTTCAAAAGGTACAGTAATGGAGCTCCAATCAATATGGCACATAAAATCTAACATATGGAAATTGATGCGTAAGCTGCAATTCCTGTTACAAGAATGGCTGTTCGTGGCCAACATTCCAGGTTGGTCATCAATGCCGTGCAGAAGGTGCAGGTAAGTTGAGAATTGTGCTGCTTTACAACTCGTTTCCATTATGTTTACTTCGCTTCCGTCAAACATTTTCCACTTCACTAAGTGCTCGTGCAGCATGATTTGTGCGTGGAATCTTACCGTTTCTATTCGCTGCGGTTGGCACAATTCGATGCAGTACTCCTCCGCGCAATTCTCATATTGGTGTGGTTCTCCCTGTGTTAGGAATTACTCCTCCGTCGATGCATTGAAGATGACGCGTTATGTTGCTGCTGCCTAAGCAGACCTACGCACATATTGTTAGGAGTAAGGCGGTCAAAAGGTGGGCATTGTGTTTGAAGAAGCTTGGCAGGCAATTAAGGTTGGTACCTTCGTCCTTTGCTTCGGTGTAATTAATCTTCTTCGTTGACCGCAGGTTGTACCTCGTTTGTGGTGAACTTTCCTGGGGGATAAGTGTTTCTTCTTGATCTTGTCCAAGCTCTAGTGTACTATGCGATTGATGGGACGTCTGAGTTTATGTTTGTTAGGTGCTTCTAGTACAACTTCTCGTTCTGCCCCTGGTGCGTCTTGAAATTCGATTATTCTTGCCATTTCCAAGTGTTTTTTTGGTTGCATTGACTCCCACATGAGTACCACATCTCCTTACTTCGGTTTTGCGGTGGTTCCTCTTTTTTCGTCGATATGTACTCTGTGCAATTTTTTTCAGATATGCAAGATACTGTGTGCTCCAAATCTTCCAGAATTTTTCCGTTAAATTGACTGATGACTTCAGTGCTTCCTCTGCCTGGTGTTGTATGGCCATTTGTTGTGTTTCTTCTGGAGTATGGTAGGTCATATCCTTTCCGTTTTCTCCTATGTTTTGCAAGGGAAAGTGCAGTATGATATCGTTTTGCAAGAAGTCTATGAGCCGGAGAATTGGTTGCTCTTCCCATTTCTCTTTTTGATGTGTAAGCGGTCGTGAATTTAGCATTGCCTCGATTTCTGCTAATATCGTTCTTAGTGCATCGAATGTCACGATTCGTACTCCAAGTGTTTCGTGCAACGAGTTTTGATAGAGCGAATCAGCCGTTCGTAAAAACCACCCTGCCACGGTGCGTACGGTGTTATGTGCTTCCATCGAAATTCTCGTTGTGCAAGATCGCTTTGGAGATCCGTGCTGTTTTCCGCGCTGTTTATTGCATCGTGCAATATTTGCTCTCCCAGCAGAGAAAGTAGGTGCGTTATCGCAGGTTATCGTTTCAGGTACTCCTCTTCGTGCGAAAAACCGTCGAAGAGCATTTATTAGGTTGTCCGGAAATTAATCCGTTTTGGATTTCAACCGCAATAAATCATACACTTTTCATTCCTGAATATGCTGCAAGAAACCATTCGATAGAGCAAAGCAAGCTCTACAAGATGGCTTTCTCGCTTTAGCGACAGCTCTAATCCATCTCGAGTTTCGAGCCAAAAACTAAAAAGATTCAACTGCCTAAAAATCGAGAAAAATCATAACTCAGTTCAAAAGAACCCTACAAAAATTCTAACTTGCCACGTAAACACTATCCACATAAGACATATATGTACGCCTTGCCGTTTTTTTCCCTCTGTTAGAAATCAAGAAAACGAAAATTTACATGCTTTTGCCAAAGTGATGCTGTGTCGTCCCCACATAAGTAGATGAGTACTACAAATCTGTAGAAGTACAAACGTAAATTTTCAGTTGCCTACAAGCTCTACTTCTCGAGAAATTTGGAATTCAGATTGGACCACCTGATTCATGAAAGCTATATTCGATATTTTTCGAAAACTAAAGCTTGTGGAAAGCTGAAAATTTACGTTTTTACTTCTACAGGTTTGTAGTATACATCTACTTATGTGGGGACGACACAGCATCACTTTTGCAGAAGTATGAAAATTTTCGTTTTTTCGATTTCTGACAGAGGAAAAAATACGGCAATAGCGTACATATATGTCTTATGTGGATATTGTTTACGTGAGCAATTTAGAATTTTTGTAGGATTCTTTTGAACTAAGTTATGATTTTTCTCGATTTTTCAGGCAGTTGAATCTTTTTAGTTTTTGGTTCGGAACTCGAGATGGATCAGAGCTGTCGCTAAAGCAAGAAGGCCGTCTTGTAGAGCTTGCCTTGCACTATCGAATGGTATCTTGAAGCCTACTCAGGAATGAAAAGTGTATGATTTATTGCGGTTGAAATTCAAAACGGACATTAATTTCCGGACAACCTAATACAAATGCTTCTGTAGACATGTCCTCCACCAACTCCAAGTGTATGAGGAGTGTTGTCTGGCAGGTGAGTATACATCCATAAGCCTTCGATTTTTTTGTGCTTCTTCGTTTTCTTTTGTTCTTTATTTTTCTTTTCTTCCTCGGTTCCATTTGTTTCCATATTTTGTTTTCGTGCTTGGTGCATGTTTTTAATCAGCAACGGTCCGAAGTAGTCCAGTCCTATGTGTTGAAAAGGTTTTGATCTTCTCACTCTGGTCGAAGGTACTGCCTTCGTTTCGGGATAGATGAAGGGCAGATTTTTTATTTTTTGGCATGGTACGCATCTTTTAATTACCACTTGCGTTTGTCGCCGAAGCTTGGGTATCCAACATTTTTCCCGTACTGCTGCCATTGTATGAGCGAGTCCTTTGTGGTAATAGTCGTGCGCTTCTGATATGATGAGCCTAGCTAATGCTGT